TCCACAACCTGCCATGTCTGATTCTTTTCAAGAGCATTCATTTCTTCTAAAACAGCCTTCTTCCACTCAGGTTTAGATAGAGCTTCATGTATGGTTAAGGGAATAGAAACAGTGGAAAGACAGTGGTAAAGGCTGCAAATGATGCAGATAACTGAGAATAGGACAAATAGTTTGAGATAGGGTATTTAACACATGATCTTTTTTCTTTTCTGAGAGCAATGGGTAGATTTAGATCACTGGAATTATTACCTTTATCATTTTCTGACATTGAGTCAGATTCATGAGCAATGGCAGGATCAGGGATGTCCTCTATTCTTTGATTTGGAACTCTCCTTTCATAAACCTTGCCAAAAAATTTACTTGTCTGCTGTTCATCATCTTTCCTTGTCTCAGAAAATTTTATTTCATTTTCTTTTGATTCTTGACTATTTTCTAGTGCATCTAACTGACTATTATATTGTGCATCTAGACTAATGTCAAGAAATTCAAGTTTTTCATGGATATGTGACACATTATCACCATCTTCATTAGGAATCTCCCCCTGAAGATGAGTACCAAAAAAAAGTTGATTTTCAACAAAAACAGTGTTCATTGTTACAAACATCTTTTTTGTTGTAGGGTCAAAACATTTATAGCCTTTTGTGTTGAAGATAGTCCTAAGAAAACACATTTTTTGCCTCTAGGATCAAATTTGCTTGCAGTTCTGTCAGGGTTGGTAATAAAAACTGTGCAGCCAAAAAATTTTATGGGAAGAGAGTTGATAAGCCTAGTTTCAGGAAAACTGGCTTGGAGTGTATCAATGGGAGTTTTAAATCCTCGAGTCTGTGATGACATCCTATTAATTAAATAGGTAGTATGTAAAACAACTTCTCCCCTTAAATATTTTGGAATTCTAGCAGAAAACATAATTGCACGAGTGACTTCAAGCAAATGCCTATTTTTCCTCTCAGCTATTCCATTCTGAGCAGGTGTATTTATACAGGAACTTTGATGAATAATCCCTTTTTCAGCAAAAAAATTATTTAACTTCTTAGAAAAATACTCAAGACCATTATCACTTCTCACAATCTTGATATTAGTATTGAATTGAGTCTGAATCATTGAGTAAAATTTCTTGAACACCTCTTCAACCTCAGATTTTTCTTTAATCAAAAAAACCCATGTAACCCGTGTGTTCTATGATAGTTACAAACCACCTTTTTCCTTTCAAAGTTGAAACTCTAGATGCACCCCAAATATCACTGTGTACAATAGTAAAAGGACTAGTTGACTTGTAACTATGAGGGATATAAGAGCTCCTATGATGTTTGGCAAGTGCACACATATCACAATGAAATGATGAAGGATTTTTATTATGAAATAACTTAGGAAACAACCTTTTTAGATAGGAAAAACTTGGGTGACCTAATCTATAGTGCATTAAATACACTTCATTATTACAAGGAAAGGAAATAGTTTGCAGACAAGTTTTTTCTTGACCTTGTTTATTCAATTGTGTTCCTTCATCAAAAACATATAGGCCATCCTCCTCTCTAGCACTACCAATCATCCTCCCTGATGCCAGATCCTGAAAAATGCAATAAGAACATGTAAGACTTTAGAAAGGTTAATGGATGAGGAAATTTAATATTTCCCATCCCTGCTATGGCTGAAAAAGAGCCATCTGCAACTCTAACTTTCTTATCTCCTGCACAAGGTTGATATGAAGAAAAGAGATTTGGAATGTAGGTCATGTGGTCTGTTGCACCTGAGTCAATGACCCAGGTGCTTTTTTGTTTTTCAGAACAAAAAAATGATGTTATTTTACCATTTTGGGAAAAAGAACAGGAAGGGTTTTCTTGGTTGGAGATTTTTTTGGTGGGTAAAAAATTGGAGTAAGTACTCTATCTGTTCCTGAGTGAAAGGCAGTTGTTTAGATTCAACTTCTGACTCTTGCTGAGTCTCAGTCACAGTAGTTTGTAGGGCCCTTTCAACTTTCTTCTTTCCAGCTCCTAGTGGTTTTCCATGAAGTTTCCAGCATGTTTCCCTTGTGTGACAATTTTTTGCAGTGATCACACCAAGGTTTTTTCTTGTCATCACTTCTGGCCACTAAAGCTGAAGAGTCCCCAGGTTCCTCATTAGGTACTGGAGTGTTGTACATGACCCTCCTCCTGCTATCTTTCAACTTGATCTCAGAAAAGACCTCTCTGATTGAGGCCAGAGGTTTCTTTCCCAGTATTCTGCCTTTTACTTCATCTAGGTCCCTATTGATCCCTGCTAGAAACATATAGACCCTATCATTCTCTTCTCTTTTCTTATGTCTGGCCAGATCCTTAGCACTCTCCCACTCTTCATCACCATTGCATTGATCTAATTCTTGCCACAGAGATACCATATCATTGTAGTATGAAATAATATCCCTATTTCCTTGTTTAGATTGCCACAGTTTGGTTTTGAGTTCAAAAATTTGAGAAGAGTTCTCAAGATCTGAATAAGTTTCCTTAATAGAGTCCCATACCTCCTTTGCAGTTTTCATAAACATATGAGGTTTGGCAATTAAGGGCTCCATGGAGTTGAGAAGCCAATCTGTTATGAATGAATTCTCTGACCTCCATGTACTGTACCCTTCTTCTGCAGGTAGTTTTGGTTTGATTTCTCCTGTGATGTAACCCAGCTTTCCCCTCCCATTAATTGCAAGTATGACAGATTGAGACCACTCCAGATAGTTTGTTCCATTCAATCTATGACTAGTGATTATCATAGATGAATGAATAGGAGATTGGTAATTTGTCATAGGGCTAATTTGGGAGTTAGGGTTGATAGTGTGTGAGGAATCAGCATCACTGGTTTCTACCATTGTTTAAACCGAGGCTCTGATACCATGTAAGTTTTAGGAATAAAACTTCCTTAATATTATTGAGCCATCCGGCAATGATATATATACAAGTTACAGATAAAGCCTAGTTGTTACAGATCCTAAAATATAGGATCTATCTATTCTGCGAGCTTATCTACTAGTTAGAGAGTTCTATCTACTCTAAGTCTTATCTATACAGTTCCGGATGTACATATAATTAAAATAACAAATACATGTTACATTTTTCTACACTCCTCAAAGAAATCTGGTCAGAGAAGTGTTAAAAGGCATATTCCTCAATGGATTAAAAAGGGATATTAGAGCTGAGTTGAAGCTTTACAATGCAAGAGCTTTATCAGATATCATGGATAAGGCATTGTTAATAGAAGTCAAGAATATTGAAATTCTTTCCAAGAGAAATAAAGACGATGATAAAAGAAGTTGGCAGGGAAAAGCTATAGGAGCTACCACTTGTCAAAAATGGGGAGAAGGAAGTAGGTGGGAAAACAACAATGTCGTGTCTGCCAGTTCAGGGAAGAACACAACTAAGATCAACAACACAGAAAATATGGGAATCTATAATCAGAAGAAGACCGGTCCCAGGCTGACTCAAGGAGAATTACAAGAGAGGAGTCAAAAAGGGCTGTGCTCCAAATGTGGAGACAACTGGAACAGGGGAAAAGAAGACTCAGATACATTCTCCAGTGAATCAGAGGGGAAGAAGAAACAGCTATGGAGTCAAAAGTTATGCAATTGTCAATGATGAGTACAAAAGGAATACCAATTATGAGAACATTCAAAGTGAATGGATCTCTGAAATGGGCAACAGGAGAGCAACCGGTGAGTTACTGATTGATAATGGAGCTACTCACAATTTCATAGCCCAGAAATTGGTGAACAAATGGAAGAAGCCTTACAGCACTATTAAAGGATATAAGGTTCAAATTGACAATGGAGATCAAATTCCTGATAATGGCATATGTGTGGGATTGAAACTCAGGTTGCAAGGAACTGAAAATTAAGAAGACCTATATTCTGGAGATAGGAGGGACTGATGTGTTGGGGATGAAATGGTTAACTTGTTTAGGTGATGTAGAGATCAATTTCTAGAATCAGACTATTAAATGGAGAATGCATGGACATAAATACAACATTAAGGGAGATCCATCATTAAATAATATGGAGGTTTCAATGAAGACACTATCACACATTTTGCAGTAGTCTGGAGATGGATATATATTGTATTGTGAAGGACCAAGGAAAAGGAGCCAATCAGCACAGGTAATAATGAAAGAGTTTCCAGAAGTCTTTAAGGCCAATCAAGATCTACCACCTGTAAGATCATGTGATCATGTTATTAATATTATGGAAGGAGCCAGCATTCCTAATATTAGGCCTTACAGGTATCCTTACTACCAAAAGAATGAGATTGAGAAAATAAAGTTATTGGACTCTTTGTCTTGGGACTTGGGAAGACTGAGACTAATAATCTCTTTCTTTGGGAGCTTCAGCTTTTGGGGGCTTCGGCCATAGTTTCTTGTACCTGTTCTTAATCAATAAAGTTTCAGATTGTTTGTTTGATACTTTCAGAGATTTAACTGTATATTTGAGCTGGTTCTATCAGAATAAATAGCTGGGTTTGGGAAGTTGGTAAGCAGGCTGTTAGACTGTTGGTTTGGGCTGGGAGAAATTGAGATATGGTTTCTCGTTTCTTGTAAACTTTCTGTACACTTTCCACCATTGATGCAAGCTTGAGTTGTTACATGAATTCTCTTTTCTTACTGTGATTTCACTAAATAACTGTGTGAAATCAAGATCCTCCATGACGGTTAAACGTATGCACTGGAGGAATAAGAACAGAAGTGAGTTTCCATGTAGCAGAAGTAAGATCCTCCATGGCGGTAACAAGATCTTTTGTTGTCTCAAAGATCGAGATATTCAATTCTCCAAGTTTGTTCCCCAAACGTTCTTGTCCATGTAGTAGTAGTAATGCGACAATGAGGACTCATCAACGACAATAACAACAACAGCGATGACGCAGACGCCTGATGAGGGCGATGACGACGACAACAACAATTATAATCGTAATAACAACAATGATAATTAGAGACAAGCCAATATCAGCTTTTTAAAAGAGTTTGAGTCAAAGACCGAGATTGTTCACCTCAAGAAATTTGAAATCTGGCTTCAACGTAAAACATATGCCTTCTTGAGTCAATAGAGAACGGATGACAAGAGAAAACCTCTCCGGGATACGAATTGGATAGTTGTAAACTAGTTGGTTAAACTTTCCTACATCATGAACAACATGTGCTATCCATAATCAGTTATCACATGAGCAGAAGATACCTGCGGCAGCTTTACAACAAATAACATGAACATTACCTGTAACACTTCTAAAGTTAAAATCAGAAAGTCCTTTTTCAAGTGAATTCTGCCAAATTGCTTCCAAAGCAGGAATAATGGGGGACACATCAGTACCACAAGCTAGGAAGCCAAGTCTAGTAAAATCTTTGGCCATCTCAGCGTAGTCCTCATTTACAGCATGGACAACAGCATCAATCAAAATCTGTTTATTTTGCTGAAAAGAAAACGAAAACTGAATTCTGAAAAGCTCTTCATAAGGATATGCACAAACTAGAGCAATAAATGAATGAGGCAAAGTCTGCTGGAACATGATTGCCATTTATGAACCTGTCAACACAATCCAGTATTCTTACGAAAATATTAATGGAAGCAATGCATGGGGGGTATCATTTTTATGTTCCTCTGTATGTGCACAACCGAATGCTAGTAAAAATAAAAAAATAAAAACCAAATAAAAAAAATGAATGCTAGTATCTACCATATTTTGCATTTGCTTGTTCACCAGACCTATAGAGGCATATATTACCTGACTCAGAACGGCAACATTCCCAAAGTCAACATATGCAATGCGACCATCATGCATAGCAAAGATATTCCCAGGGTGTGGATCTCCATGGAACAAGCCAAACTCAAGTAACTGCCTCAAGGCTGCACTAACTCCAACAGTCAAAAATCCATCTATATCAATTCCTGCCCCCTTGATTGCCTGACAAATATAATATAAATATATCAAGATAAAAGCTGATTCTCAAGAGGCAGCAATTACATAAAAAGCTCTGAGGAGTATACCTCTGGATCGGTGCAACGTATTCCGTCAATCCATTCCATTACTAGAACATGTGGACCAGAAAGCTGTTTGTAAACCCGAGGAATTTTGACAGTGGGGTCATTCTTGAAATTTTCCAAAAAATCTTCAATATTGCGAGCTTCCTGGAGAAGCAAAGAAAGACAGGTAAGGAAAAGTTATGGTATGAGCTTGGTTATTTAACAAGTACCTACAACTCAGGTTTCTGATATTGCAGTAAGTTCTTTACTAAAATCACAATATGCCCCAATTCTAGCAACCCTCAACCAGCAAATCAAAATACATATCTCTGAACTCTTTTTAACTTATGCATGACTGCATGATAAAAGAAAAAAGTGTATGTGTGCTATGTAAAATAATCAGTATCCTCTTTTTAGAACAAACAGAAATTAAATGCAAAATATAACCAATGTATAGTCTAGCTCCTCTAATAGCTTCTCCCCAAATTCTTCCACGATAAGTTCTGCATTGCATCCTAATTTTTGTAGGCTGATCCCATCCAAAAATGAAGCCAGCATCCGGAAAAGAAAAAGATCTCGGTAGATGATAGGCTCAATATGAGGCCTTTGAACCTGCAAAGAAAACAAGTTTTAAGTTGTTTATATCTGAAGCATTTCGTCAAGAGATCAAATGTTTCGACCCTTGCATAAGAACAAACAAAAAATGCAACACAAAAAACAATTACTTGCATAATTTACGGCAACATAATGTGGTGACTCGAGGAACAAAGAATGTTACATTTCAATAGAAAAAACTGTAAGCATTACTGAAACTGTGAAACAGGAACAGTACTTGTTAAGAATTTAGGGGCATCACATATTAACTGTAAAAAAGTACAGTATATTATTAGGATTCAGAAGTGGGAAAGATGTGATATGAGATTTGGTATTCCAAACTTAACAAGTAGATGAGTATAATTTTTGTTCTCTTAAGGGATCATAGGGATGTAAAGCACCAGCAATGAAATAGTGAACTTATATGATATAAAGAAGGGGTAATTTGAGTTTGCACCCCAATTTATTGTCCAAATTGAACTTTGCACCCCGATTTCAAAAAATCTTTGTTTTTGCACTCCAACCCTGTATGAAAAGACAAAATGCCCCTCCATTAACAATTTTGTTGTCCAACATATTCCTGATCGAGTGGCATTTTTGTCTTTCCATACGGGGTTGGGTTTTTAAAAACGGGTTGCAAAGTCCAATTTGGACAATAGAATGGGGTGCAAACTCAAATTAGAAGATTCAAACAACTGAACAATCACCAAAAGCATAGTATTAAACTAGGAACAAAAATGTAGACTAAAAATATATGCAACCTTAATTGCAACATCCTCCCCTGTTGAACGCAATGTAGCTCGATAAACTTGACCCAAACTTGCAGCTGCTATAGTCTTTGAAGAAATATTTCTGAAAACAGCTTCCAGAGGTTGACCCAATTCCTCTTCTATGATGTTGAAAGCAACCTAAACCACAGTCAATTATTGCTGCTTGTGGAATAAAATTACGCTGAAGTATCATATTTAAGAATGCCTCAGAAAACCGAGCTAATCAACTCATTACCTGATTAGGAAAAGGAGGAACATCATCCTGAAGAATACAAAGTTCATTCATGTAATCTTCTCTAATTATATCTGGCCTATTTGCAAGCACCTACCAAAATAAATATAAACAAAAGCAGGATTAAGAAAATCCGCACAGCAGCTATAAAGTTTCGACAAAGAGATGGAGGAAAACACTACAACAACATCCAAGCCTTAATCCCAAAAGATTTTGGGGTCGTGTAACATGAATCGATACATGATATCATAACCAAAAGGAAAGGAAAGATAACAAAAATAAACTGCGATAAACAGATAATATAAAAAGAGATAGTATATACATAAAAAAGATAGAATAAAAAGGATAAAAAGAATATATATATATATATATATAAAATTCCACTTTTGGTTCTGCGAGTTTTAGGTCAATTCCACATTTAGTCCACATCTTTCACTTTGTCCACTTTTGATACATGACTATTGGGTTTTCGCTCATATATGGTCTTTCCGGCATTGTTTCAGATGCTTAAAATCGCCGGAAAAGGACCACAAACGGTTAAAAAACATTAGTCAAGTACCAAAAGTGGACAAAGTGAAAGACGTGGACTAAAGGTGGAATTCGCACAAAGCTCGTAGGACCAAAAGTGGAATTAATTCATATATATATACACACACACACACACACACATATATATATATATATATATATGTATGTATGTATGTATGTATGTATGTATGTATATGAATAAAGATAAAAGGATAAAAAACACCAAGAAGAAGAAGAGGGGGAAAAGATGATAAGAGATCACTCCGCCACATGAATACCCTCATCCAACCCAAGAAGAAGCATATGACTTACGACTGCTCTAATCAACGTTTGTTTGGGCTTTCCTCTCCTCTTCCCTGTCTCTTCTCCATACCTCTCAACTCGTCTCACAGATGCATCACACGGTCTTCTACGCACATGATCAAACCACCACAAGAGAAACTCCCGCATCATATCTTCAATAGCGGTCCTTTCTAGTGTGTCCACACACCCACAGTCTGCGCATCTCTGTCACATTCATCTTTTAAATGTGACATTGTTTCACCGTGCAACACTCTACACCATAGAGTAATGCAGGACTAATTGTTGTCCTATAAAATTTACCCTTCAGCCTAATCGACATTCCTCAATTGCATAGAAATCCTTATGCACTCTTCCATTCATTCACCGTGTTCTGATTCTATGGGATACATCTCCATCTAATTCACCGTCTTTCTGAATTATAGAGCCCAAGTAACGGAACATATCACTGACCGGAATCGCCTTATCCTCTAGAGTAATTCCGCTATTACCACTGCTTGTACCTCCACCAAATTTGCAAATCTTCATGTACTCAATCTTGCTTCAACTTAATCTGAAACCCTAGTTCTCCCATGTTGGTCGTCATACTTTTAACTTTGCTTTGACACCCGATTGCGTCTCATCAATCAATATAATATCACCGGCAAACATCATACACCATGGTATATCATCTTGTATTGACTTTGTAAGTTCATCCATGGCTATAGCAAATAAAAAAGAGTTCTGAGCCGATTCTTGGTGCACTCCGATAGTAATTGGAACTCTACGGTCCTCCCTACACTAATACGGACACTTGTATTACAATCCTCATACATATCCACGATGATGTTGATGTACTTGTGTAAAATGTTTTTTCTAGTCAAGGCCCACCAAAGAACTTCTCGAGGTACCTTATCATATGTATTTTCTAAGTCAATGAACACCAAATGCAAATTCGAGTTAATGTTTCTATACTTCTCCACAAGTTGCCGAAGAAGGTGAATGGTCTCAGTTGGTGAGCGATAAGGCATAAAACCTAATTGATTCTCTGAAATTTTCACATTTCTTCGAAGTCTTTGCTCAATCACTCGCTCCTAAAGTTTCACGGTGTTACTCATGAGCTTAATCCCTCGATAGTTGGCACATTCTTGTACGTCACCCTTATTCTTATTTAAGGGAATAAGAGTACTCTGCCAACTCGCTGGCATTTTGTTGTTTCTCCAAATCTTGTTGAAGAAACTTGTTAACCACTCAACGCATCTCTCTCCCAAACTTCTCGGGCCTTGATTGGTATGCCATCTGGACCCACTACTTTCTTCTGCTCCATCTTCCGCATAGCTTCTTTAACTTCTGTCGTTTGGATTCTTCTCACAAAATCCTGATTTACCATACAATCTGGTATTGTAAGATCACCAATATCTTGCACTTTATTCCCATTGAATAATGTATCAGAGTATGATTTCCACCTCTCTTTTATTTCTCTGTCCTCCATTAGTATACTTTGATCGACATCCTTCACACACATTACTTTTTCGATATCTCATGTTTTCTCCTTCCTTAAAGTTCAACTTTTCATAAAACTCCTTGTTCACTTTCCCTCGTGTTTCCTTTACGGCTTTCTTTGCTTGTCTTTTAGCCACATTCTATGCTTCTATGTTCTCAACACTCCAACTTGTTCCTAACTTTTTGTAGCAATCCATTTTGTTCCTTATGTCTTGTTTCACCTCATCATTCCACCAAGATGTGTCTTTTTTTGATGGCAAACATCCTTTAGATTCTGAGTACCTCTTTTGTCACTTTGTTCATGGTCAACTCCATTGATAAATACACATCTTCTACATGTGCTTCATTATCAATACACCAAATATCTTCACCAAACATTTTGTGTGTAAAGCTTTGTTAGAGATTCCCTTTGAGCCTCCATCACTTTATCTTTTTTTTAATCCCATTAGGCAAACTACCCTTTTTGGCGGGGTAAATGTCGGGGACCATTTACTGAGTTTTATTAAAAATAAAGAAATATACAGAAGATGGCGTGGACTAGACCAAAACCCCACTAGACAAGGCATACCTTCTTAAAATACAAAAAATGCTGAAAATAAAAGAAGAAGTTTGGGGGACTATACCGAAACCCAAACAACAGTACATGTAAGATGAAGAAAAAAACAAACAAAAGAAAGGCCGAAGCCTAAAACAAGAATGGCCTGGAACACCAAGCTTACACTGAAGATATCAGAAGAAAACAGCTAGTTTCGAATGAAGAAAATGCCATCCTTATCAAGCTTAATAAGTTGAAGCATCGAACTGGATAGGCCATTAGCTTTCATAATGTGTCGATCTGTTCTGGCTTTCGTGCCCTCCTGTGCAAGTGAATGAGCATCCGTGTTGATTTCTCTATAGATATGCTTAACCTTAACATCTTGAGAATTGCACACGCAGATAAAATCCTCAATCCAGTTGTCAAGGTAAGAGTTCTGGAAAGATTGTTTTTCACTTTGGTTAAAGATTCAGAATCCGATTCTAGCTGAATGTCTTTAATTTTCATGCTCTTATATCAATTCAATGCTTTAACAGCTGCAATCATTTCAACTTGAAGAACTGATTTAGCATTAATCAAGAATGAGCAGCACCAACAAAAGATCCATCTTGATTTCTGAGAATGGCTCCACCCGCACATTTCCCATCCTTGAAAGCCGCATCAACATTTAATCGCTGCGTATAAAGGAAGTTATTCTTCCAAACCAAGATCTTTTGTTTATTTTTCTTGATTGTATTTGGCATAATGTTGGCTAGGAAAAGATCTTCACTGCAAGTCATAAACTTTTCGCTTTTATGACTTAAACACCATTGTTGACAGTAGATTTGAATTTGTTTGATAACTTTTTCTTCTTCAGAAGTCTTATTATCCCAAAAATTATCATTCATTGCCTTCCAGACAAACCGAAGAATAATCCCAGGTTAAATTTGTTTCATGTGCCCTCAATGGATGATTCCTTAGTAAGCCACCAACAGAAGAGCATTTGTCTGAGTTCCATAAGTCCAGTTAAATTAATATGAAGCATACTCATGAAGAATCTCCATATTGGCTGCACTTGAGGACATGTGAAAAGGCAGTGTTCCTGAATTTGTTGAGCTTTCAAACACATAGGCATCTAGAAACAAGTTGAATACCAAATTTTCTGAGATTCTCTGGAAATGCCAAAAATTGATTAAGAACCTTCCAGCAAAAAAATTGATGTTCAATTTTTGTTTGGAATGCCGAATGCCAAGAATGAGAATAAGAGAATAAAGTGGAAGCTCTTTCCCTTATATTGTTGTAGGCGGAAGCAAAGGTGAAATTGCCATGTTTTTCTGAAGTCCAAAAAAGCTGTTGATTTTCATCATAGTTGATAAGGTCCTCACCTATATAATTGATATCACAAATTTGTCTGCAAATAGGTGAGTCAGTGATTCTGGCCTTCATATCCCCAGCTCTGTTATATTTTTTATGCATGTATCTTTTATGCATGAAGTCTGACCAAATTGAAGTCTTTTTTCCAAATCCACCACATTTTTAATTGATAAGCCCTTTCAATATCTTTTAAAGATCTGGTGCCCAAACCACCTTCCTCAGGTTCTACAAATTTTCTTCCAGTTGTCCCAATGAAATTTATTATGACCTTCTAATAAGCGTAATGCAGTCGTAATCCCCTCATGGATAGGGACCACCAAATATCTAAAAGGAAGGTTGGAAGATTTCATACCAAGCAAATCTTCCATGCTCTTTTCCTGTCAGTAGTAATCTTTCTGCTTGTAACAAAATTACTCTTATGTAGGTTCACTAATTGTCCAAAAGCAGCCTCATAATATTGGAGTAAGGATCTGAAAGCCTTAATGGAACTCGGTAAGCCATTGAGAAAGATTAACAAATCATCACCAAGCAATGTTTAAGTTGGTTAAAGGCAACAGTGGCCTCCTCATTCCAATGGAATGAATGTTTCTTTAAGAGTTGCGTGAGTGGCAAGGCAACCTCCCCATAATTTTTGATAAATTTACGGTAGTAGCCAGCCAGGCCTAGAAACCCACGCAATGCCGTTAGTGTCCCTGGCAGAGGCCACTCTTGGATGGCTTTAACTTTCTCCTGGTCAACCTTGACGCCTTTTTCGTGAATGATGTGACCCAAATACTGCACACTATCAATTCCAAAATAGCATTTGGAGCGTTTAAGAAATAGCCCATGTGCTCGGAGGATATCAAAAACTAAGCGGACATGATGGATATGCTCCACCCAGCTCTTACTATAGATT